TGTTGGGTTTTAGTTCATTTCAATAATAGAACTATTAAAATTAATAAATTCTTCATAACACACAGTCAAATTTGAAAACAGAATATTAGATTTGCATGCTATTTAATGGGGAAAAATTATACAATTCTGGCACCAAAATACAAATTCCATACTGATTGCTGCTTAAAATAAGGAAAGGTTATGGCATTTATTTCATTTTCCAAATAAATAGTTTTTTTTCCGTGAACTGAACCTAGCCTTAATCCAAAGGGGGGCTGGGGGGTGGGGGGGCTATTTGTTTTGTTTTATAAAAGAATACATGTCTTACCAAAACTGTTTCCTGATAATTAAAGCAGCAATAGTAAAACCTTGCTTAAAAGCAATTTACTAAATATAATTTCCATCCTTTTGCTAAATCTTAATCCTACATTAATTCCATAATTTAATATGAAGCTACAGGGTAGGAAATCTATTTAATGATTAGCTCAACTCTTATGAAATAAATTATGAATATAAAATTATTATAAATTATTATAATCACCATATCATTGTAAACTGACCTTTCCATTCTTTTAATGTGTAGAAAAGGGAACAAGAGACTCTGCTTGTGGGATATGAACACTGTTTGCTTCACATAAATGCGTATTTTTCTTGTGTTTTTATTTTTGGTTTACATTAACATTCCTGAAAATGATTGGTTGTTTGATTTAGCAAGTCAATAACAGCAATAAAACCATTAGCTCTTTTTATGAAAATGTCTGTTAGACATAATAAATACAAATAATTTAAGCCACATCCTAACCAAATAGCTTATAATATCCAGGCAGAAGTCCAGCATCTGAGGGACAGACAATATAGGCTGTGGATGCTGTTCCATGGCCAATAATGATGGCTGCCACAAAAATAAGATGGTAAATTGGCCTTTTCATCAGCAGGTAAAATTAATCTCCACTGTTAGCACCATTTGGTTGAAAATCACCATTATGGTATTGACTCTCTATTCAGTTATACCCATTATAAGTCACTGTAGTGGTGTTTGACTTACACCTGCGTTGGACAAAAATTAGAATCAAAGTTAATCTTTTTCTCCTTCATTATCTCCATTATATCTTCTTCCATTCAATAGCAACAGATAACTAAGGTCATATTTTGTTTTATTCCAAACTTTTTGAAAAAATTGCAAAATACGCACTTCTAGAACATTAGGAATTTTGATAAAATATCACATCTGCATTGTACATTTTCCTTAGTAGTAAAATCACACATTTTCAGAAGAAATAGAAGCAAACCCACAATTAAAGAATCTACAATTACTAATCATCATTGTTTTTAAGCCATAGCAATTAACAACTGAAAGTAAGACTTTGCTAAGCTCTGGGATATCAAGCAAAACATGGATATGAGTTTTCCAAATCAAAACAAAAATATAAACTAAATTTCAGCTTTGGAATCTGACTTCAGAAGTTGCTAATTGGCATTATAAGAAGACATTGAAATGTTTTCTTCATGCTTCTCGTAAAATTTTCTTTCACTGTCTCATAGCATAAATGCTTCGTTCTAATCTTATGTCATTTCTGAACTGATAGAATACCACTGACTTCAGTTGTGCTAATTCTGATTTGCTAAGTTCAAATGTAAATAATATCTAAATCAGGCCCCAAAGAAGTGTGTTCTCTTTTCTTCGGATAAAGTTTCCACAACAAATACTGAGTACATGTATAACATGTGGCAAAGCCAATATACTGGACAAAAGATAACTAGGTAGCAACTTAACCAAAATAACCAACCCAATATTTCAAGTAACTGAAATAGATTCATGGAACATATCCATTCAAGGTAAGTCTTGAATCCACCAGTTTTTAATCAATGGAAGTTTTCATGGCTAGAAGTGAAACACTGAATCAGGTAATATTTATATTAATATTAAAATAAATATTCTGTGTATAACATTACAGAAATAAATTAAATTCTTAGATTTAAAAAAAGTGTAATATAATAATACGTTTCAACAATTCAGTAATGTTGGTTGTTGAAGATTTGAGACCTGATATTGGTACATACACAGTTTGGGTTTTGATAATCATTCATAGTTATAGTATTATTTACAATAATAGTTAAATACAAATGGTATATACTAAAGTGCAAGTCAGATAGCTCTGCCAATCAAGTACATAGTCCTGATGAATTCTAGCACTTAGTTAATATTAATAGAAATGAATACGGTTCATTCGCACACCTTGGAGCAGGGAATCAGCTTTGAATACAAAGGTTGCTTCAATGAAGAGTAGATGATTCAAGCAGTCCAAATTCAGCAAGTCTGTTGCAAGAAAGTAGATTTCTTATGAACACTCTAAAATCTACTGCTATAGTTGAAGTTAATGCTTAATTACAGTATGAAAAACAATAAAATAAACAGCAAGCTAAGTGACACTTGATTCTTCAGCAACTACTTCAACTTCAGCCCATCTGCTATGATCAACAGAGGAAGGCATCAGGCCTTTCTTACAGCCAGCTTCTCTTTATGCAGTCATCATGTTCACTTCAAAGAAAGCCAGTATCCAAAACGAAGCACTTGACAGGAGCAAGCTTCATTATATGGAAAACTAGAAAATAGGCCCTCACTTGACAGGTAACTTTCACAGCCAGTTCAAGGCACCTCGACTTCAACCAAAAAGCCACAAATGAGAAAAACAAGATCCTTCAATGAAACACACAAGAAATTGTAAATGATATAATTAAATAGAACACCTCCAATTGCAAGCACATGCACAGGCTCTGTCTTCATCGTCCTGATCATCTGGTTCCGGGGATCTTGATTTGTAATCCATCTCGGAATTGGCCAGTTCTCTCCCAGTAAATCGGTGGTCTGAATAGTTTTGTATTCCACCAGTTTCACCTGTCATTCCTTCAATATCTGGCATTTCAAAAGCTTCAGATAATTTCAGATGGTTTTCTGTAATTAGTTTTTTATGTGAGACTGAAGAAAAACAGTGCTGTGAATAACACAATTTCTGCAAGATTGTTTCTCATGTTATTTTTGAAGAGCTGGCAATGACTCATTGCTTCCCTTTGTTTGGGGGGACACCTCTGTCGAATTTGTTTCAGTATCATGTGATTATGAGTCAGGTTTGTTGCTTGGCAACACATTTAGCAGTATCTTTACTAGAATCATGCTCGAGAACTTGTGTTTTACTTATTTTCTCAATTCAGCTAAGGAATGGATTCATAAGAAATTCCAATGCATATTTTCTCTGAGTTAATGAAAATTTGCTGTATAATCAACCTGGCATATGTGTTACTGTCCTATAGAATAACACATAGTAAACACATTTTTTACATTAAAAAGGAATATTTAGTGCTGACTGTAGTTGTAACACCATCTAGCAAATGGACCCTAATTTCCAGGCATTTTCTTTAGGATGGAAAAAGCACCTTATACTCAGAACCTAATTTACCTTGTGGGATTAATTCCTTTTATCATCAATCCATTCCTAGATACCATTTCACTCTTTTCCCTGTAACATTGCTTCATTGCTGCTGACACAGAAGTGACCATAACAAATCTACCATAAATTATATTAAAGTGGGTTCTGTCATGCCTGATGTATCATTTACAGGATGGGCTTATCTCAACTCTTGTAGTCTTACTAGTCCGATCTAGCTGCTGCTAGTAAGCTTTTGGTTAAAAATGGAAATCTATGGACAAATGCTAAATAGTCTTGTCTTCCACTGATCTGAAAAGGTGACATGTAATATAACCAGTGGACTAAGAGTTAGCAAATCACTTCCCTACTACATGTTACAATCCAGATATAAAGCTTTGTATTTTGTAAATGTAAACTTAAACTATTTGTTTTTCACAAGCACTGATTCTGGAATTTGAAAAATCACAGGAAATCACATGTTGAAATTTTAGTGAACTCTAAAAATGAGCACCAAAAACACAGAACCCAACATTTTTCCTGTGTTTATTCTTTGCATCTGATTCTGATGCAGCAAAACTCTAAATCAAAACCTGATTACACTGATGCAAAACTGGAGTAACATCAACTTCGGATGTAAGCCAATGATAGTTTTTTAGAAATTGTTCACAGCTCAGTGTTCCCCAAGGCTGTACAAAAGAACGGTACAGATTTGTAGAAGTATGGGATCAAATTGCTTAGCAACAAGTCTTATAATCTGTAGTAATTTTCATTTCATATACCGCCATTCATTGCTGTACCCCCCTCTCAGATCACACATCTCTATAACAGAAAATCAGGAGTCACAAAGTGCATGGGACTTTGGGCATAGACTAGTGGCTTATAAGAAGAAAGTTATTTTTTTATCTTATGAGTCTTTTTGGTAATGACTTCCTCCGGAGGCTTGTAGTAATGTTATTTCTGCTTGGCGTTGGAAATGGAACTTATTTCTTAAAATCATTTACTTAAGTATATGATAAGTATTATAGGGGGAAGATTATTAGTGAGCTGCCATTGTACCCTTATCCTCAAAAAGGTGACTAATTATACTATTTAAATTTAATTTCCTATGTAGGAGAGGTTAAAGTTTTGGTTCTTTTTTCCTTTAGAGTGATCCAGTACTGTACAGTAGAGCCTATACAGTAAGAAAATTATTCTTCAGAATATGTATAATGTTAGTGGGGCCTGAGAGTATATCCATTCATTCCAGTCTCTCTCTAGTTAACTGAATGTTGTTGCTCCTGATTTATGGCATTTGACATGGAAGGAGAATCAAGTCATTCTTATTTTCTCATGAGGGCTAGATTGGATCTTTTAGGATTGTATGTAAAATACAGAATTCAGAGATACTGAACATAACTGATCATATTTTTTCTGTTCTTTGCACAAAAAATACTTCAATTGAAATGACACTTTATGCAGAAATCTTATAAGGTATATGAATAGAAATCTGACACAAAATAGAAACAAATAGAAAACAAAAACAAAAAAACAGTTTTGAAAATAAAGAATTTCAAATGTGCTTGTGTGTAAATAAAATGTTTACTTTCTTCCACCCAGGTGTATCAGGTCTACCATCTCAAACTCTCTCTTCACTAGGTTTCTTGCTGAGAAGCCTCAGGTAAGAGCAGCAGATGCACCCTAGCCAGACCTAAGCTCTAGGTAGAACAAAGAACGGTATACTGGAAGCCAGAAATGTCTTATTTCCCCACCCTAGCCAAACGAGAGGGGTACAACCCAGTTTTAAATGAGACACTTATGTCCCTGATTATGGGGTATGTATAAGCTACAAAGCTACAGTGCTAAAATATGCTGTATGTATGTGCACACAACATGGGTAAGCGGGGTTGAACTGAAACAGAACTGGGGGCATGCCTCACCCTCTCATCTCCCACCATTGTCCCCAACTTTTCCTACCCTGTACCTACCCTGAAGTGGTTCTGGCTCCAGCATCAGGGAAGGCAGAGCAATGGTGGTAGCTAACAGTACAGGAGCAGCCAAAGGCTAACTTCTCTCAGGAAGTGGGGGGAGAGATGTCACTTCCTTTTTTATCACCAAATAATGGTGTTTAGATGGCCAAGAAGGCTGGTACCAAGATGGCTGGTAGCAAAAAAAAGATGTCACTCCTTCTCCCCCACCTTATAGCAGTAAATAGTATACAGCCCCTATTCCTGAACCATACACCACCATCACTCAGGGCACAGTATGGGCCTGTTACGTATGTGTGTGTGATGTGATGTGCATATACATATACACATGTATCCATCCATATATCCTACATATTTATGTAACCTAGGAACATGTCAAAACTTTCCAGTAATTTTGCATAGAATTATCCACAGATTTGTTTTCCTTTTTTTAATGTATGAGAATTTTATGCAACAAAAACAATATTTATCTGCAGATACAAAACAGTATAAAGGTCAGTTTGTTCAATAAGGAAAAGGAAGACCATGCATTTTGACAAACAGTTAACATAGATTTTGTTTTGTATCTTTAGTCTCTCTCAAGCATATCTGCATAAATAATGGACACAAAATACCCTTTTATTTCTTATTTATTTTGATAATATTTCACTGGAAAAAGGTTCCATTTCCACATTTTTTTCTAAAACAAAGATTTAACCATACATAGGAGACACTGATTGTTGTTCATTGAGCTGTAACCTGAGAGATAACTCAATTAATGATCATATGGTTAACTTCAGGTCAGTTTTAAAAAACACTTCTACCAGTTAAAATAGTGTAAAATGATTCTAAATGTTTCATATTCTAAGAGTCCTTTTCTGGCTATGTTGTCTTAGATATTAAAGGGCAGATTCTGCAAGGGGTTAGGTGTGGCTTTCTTTTTTGTAAAAACTGGCCTGGTCAGTTTTATTTTTATGTCTCTTCCTAAGGAAAAATGTAGAAAAAGTGCCCATCTTTAAAAATGGTTTCAATTAAGCCTCCATTATTTATACTGGCAAAAGTTACAGCCAGCATCTAACTACTTTGCTGTAAAAGAATCACTGTATATCTTGAATACTTATTTGTGCTAAGGATTGTTAATGTGTTTGCCTATCTGGGTAAGAGAGTAATGAAAGAGTTTAACTGCTATTAATTAATTAATTAATAATTAATTAATTATTAATTACTACTACTACAAACTACTTCAAGATCGTTTCAGGCTGGACATAAGGAAGAACTTCTTTACTGTCCGAGCCCCCAAGGTCTGGAACAGCCTGCCACCGGATGTGGTTCAAGCGCCTTCATTGAACACCTTCAAGATGAAACTGGATGCTTATCTTGCTGGGATCCTATGACCCCAGCTGACTTCCTGCCCTTTGGGCGGGGGGCTGGACTCGATGATCTTCCGAGGTCCCTTCCAGCCCTGATGTCTATGAAATCTATGAAATCTATTAAATTAATTATTAATTAATCAATGGTCGTTATTCCCCATCAGCTTCACTGGATTGGGTTCTAAAGTTTTATGTTTGTCATGAAATGATTTTTGTATGTAACCAGGATTTTCCATAGAAGGAGTATTCATAAGAGTTTTCCATAGAAAAGTCTTTGGCTTTGTTTCTTCACAGTATTATATGTCATACATACATGAAAAGTGGCTGTGAAATGTGTGTTAAACCCTGCTCAATCAAAATATTAATATTTTTACCTCCCTACTCTAGACACTAAAATGACTACATGTGGTAGAAGGCAGTAAAGACTCCCAACTGTAGAATTTGACACTTAATTTTATTAGAAATTTTCTTACCAGCAACAAGAGATCTATAATGTTCTTATAACTTATGAAAAAATACTGGTTTGCCAATCCTATGTGTAATCTTTACTCTTTTATGAACTATTAATGTCAGTTACTTAGACTGTTTCAAGTGAAGAACAATAGGAGATAATCTGCACCAAGTCTTTAGCTTTTTCAACTAATTTTCTTTCTTTTTACCATGTCAAGCAATTATTCATGTAGTTCTCAAATAGAATATTTGTCTGTGCTTACGCAGTTCCTAACCTAAAGATTACTGTAGCAATTTACTTTCACGAGTGCATAGAAATAAATTAGTAGTGCACAGATGGCTTCCTGCAAATGCTTAAATCCTGATGAGTGCTAACGCATGGCTAAAGATTTGTTTAGATAGTTGTGTGTGTAGTTAGCACTTGCGCTGCAATGATCCACGCACACATCTGGATGTGCAAAGTAGATAAACAGCTACAAGTGCATAAGTGTTTTCCTGACACTGGCTTTAATAGCAAGTCTATGGAATGCATTTAGAAAAAAACTTTGCTTCCCAATACTGTATACACACACACGCGCGCGCGCGCGCACACACACACACACACACACACACACACACACACACACACACACACACACACACACACACACACACACACACACACACACACACACACACACACACACACACACACACACACACACACACACACACACACACAAAGAACGGTATAAAATTGTTTGCAGATGCAAGACCGCCATCCAAAGAAATTAAAAAAAAAATATCTAGTGAAGGAAGAAGGATAACAATGCCCTTAGCAACATAAAATATCTTCTTGGGAAGATCCATATTGCAGTAAAAGTGGTTGTGGTTGTGTGCTTTGTGCTCTGTCTGAAATAGAATGTTGTACATCTTTTTCTTTCTACTCCATAACTAACTTCCCTACTATCCTAACTCTGGACTCTGTCTTTTCACCCATCCACCCCCTTCTTCTTTCCCCTTGTTCTTCTGAAGTTGTCTGGGATGGTTAGGATTCATCAGGTCACACTTCAGCCTGTCAGGACATGGCGCCTCCTTTGCCCTGCTTCAGCCCATCGCTTCATTTCATCTGCAAAGAGGCTGGCGACAAGCTGGCCTCGTTAGACACAAATAACTCCAACGAGCCAAAAGCAGACAGCGATTTCCTTCTCTGTTACCTGTCACATCCCCTTGGTTTTTGTTAAACCAGCCATTGTTTTTAATCACCCCAATCAGAGCCACAGCAGAAAGGCAGAAACACACACACACGTACAGAAAAACTCAGAGAGGAACTCCTAGTTTCACATCGCTAGTGGCTTAGAACTTCAGGAAACCCCAAACCTGATCTTCGCGTAACTTCATCCTCTTTCTCCATCCTGATGAACCAGTCCTTACCCTCTTCCCTTCTCTCCCTTCCTCTCCTCCACACTCCACCCCCTGCTGAAACTCCTCCTCCTCCTTTGCTCATCCATCTCCCTTTCTAATTTGTCTGACTTGATTCCACTCTTGTCTCTTTGGAGTACTGCATTTTCAGTATTTTCCTCTGCTTCTACTGCCTCACCTTCTACTTCATATACCCTCCTTCCCATTCTTCCCTCCCTCAGTCTGACCCTATTCTCTTCCATAGATCAACTCTTCCTCTGCTTGTCCTTATTTCTAGCCTGTGAAAACATCTTCATCATTCATTTTAATAGCCTGAATGGTTTCCCTGAATTCTGTTGCCTCTCTTGCTGAACTATCTTGAGCCCCTTTCTGGCTCAAATTTCATACTTTTCCTTAACCTGAACATCTCACTCTGTCTAGTTCCTTTTGTAACCAGTTTGCCTGCAGTGCACGAATGTATAAGAGCTCTCCTCTTTGGTTAGTAGTATTTCCTCTTTTACAGCTCACTGCCTTTTCTTTTACTCTCTACAGGGTTTGGATTTCTGACACTGGACATAGTGAGAAAGGAGATGCCCGAAGGCCCAGCTGGAGAATGCATTAACTTGATTTCTCCACTGAAGTAGAGGCTGGGACATTAACTTGATTTCTCCACTGAAGTAGAGGCCAGGGAATTAACATGTTTTCTTAATGCTAACCACAAAAAGACATCAATTCTCTGTGGAGCCAATACTTATCTCACACCAGTATAAATCAAGAGTAGCTGCATTGAGGTAAATGAAGTAATAGACTTTACCTGAATAACTATGTTTGTATGATTTAGGATCATTCAAAGTTTGAATTTAGATCAATAAATCTGAAGTCTTACACAAAGTATACCCTCTAATGTACCTGTTTTTTATCCTGTGTGTGACTATCTTCCTACAGAGGTATGATGATACTAATGAATATTTAGCTTAAATATCTCTTGTGTACACTAATGTAATCAGCATATTGTGCTTAATTCCATCTGTAAAAGCAACACATTAGGATTGCAACAAGACCCTTTAGTACTACCTTTTTGCTGTGTTGTGTATTTGTTTTAGATATCTCAGGGAAAGCTGAATTTAACATTTAGTTAACAACACATGCTTACTGTTTTACTGGCATTTTATAGGAGCTCACAAAGAATAATCAGCAGCCATATTCTACCAAATAAAAATGGAATTTTGGTTGACAAAAAGACCCATGTCAATAAACTGTGAGCATTTGGACAGGATGTGAAGGACAAGGTAAAGACAACTCCTGGTGAGACAGCACTGTCCAGATTTTGGAATCTGAGCTGTTCTTCTCTGAGTGCTGAAATATTTCCTGACAAGAATCAATAATCCAAGTTTCACACAATGCTGGATTTTAAAAAATATTTATTTGATCCATCTTTGTCTTTTATTTAAAATGAGGAGAAAAACCACACAATCCTCCCACTACCAACTTTGCAGTATAACTGTATCTCACTTTTGTTTTCCTTTCCCCATTCCCTTTAAGTTGTAATTTGATCTTTTCCAAATCACGATCTCTTTCTGGCTGTCCCCTCTCCCCCTCCCCTTCTCTCATTAGTTTAACTTGAGTTAATTAGAAATAGTAGGCAGCCCTCAATCTGTTATGTGTTAAAACAGAACAATCCAAAACAGGGAGGCACAGACACAACTATGTGATTTCATTGTCTAGGGGAGACAGAAAGCCAGTGGGGCTTCTCTTATCAAGGCTAACATCTTCCCAATGGTTAATCCAACTGGCATTAAAATGTTCCGCAAATACAGATTTAGGATAACAATCTTTCCATGTTTCCTTTTTTTTAATTTCATTGTTGGCAAAAATAAGTGAATTGGATTGACATGGAGGTGATGGAGGAAGAGAAATGGTCTACACGTCAAAATGACAATGTATATTACATGGTTAACAGAATGAGTGGTACGTGCAATAATTCTGGTTATTTTCATCTGCTCTGTTGTACAATAAGTTCCTTTTTTATCCAAGTGTATCATTAATATCTCTCCCAATTCAGTGCAGATTAAATGTTTGCTTGAAGGATCACTTTCTATGAGTAATATCACTTGATAAATGTGGGGCTGAAGTAATAATCTAAGTATTCACTTGTTGCTATTACTGCTTGTGTGTATATATAGAGAGAGAGAGGTCATGCCTAGTGCTGTGACTGTAGTGTTGATCACAGACATTAAGGCAGTGTGCGCTCTGGAAGTGAAGTATAACATCTATGAAATCAAGCTTTGCTTGTAAAGGTAAGGCCTTGGATTCTTGATTGTTTGCATATGATACAGTTTGATTTTGATTAAATGCATGCTTCAAAAGGGAAGGCATAACAGGACACATACAGAAATGAATAGTTATTAGCATTTAGCCTTCGAAGAAAACTGATGCCAACTTGTATGGGCTTCCAAGATTCAAGTTTATAGTAATCGTTGAATATAACTACTAGTTTTCTATGTATGTTCATGGATGTAAAAGTAAGTGAAATATAAGTTTGCAATTTCTGTTAATAATATATTTGGGAAGCAGTAACATTTTTAATATCAATCTATGTATGCTTAAAAATGAAATAAAAAAATCAATTATTTTTCTGGCCTCTAATATTCAGGAAAGTAAAAGTTACCTTGGAGAAACTGCAGTTAAAGATACCACTACATTTGTTAATAAAAGGAAAGAACCATTTTTCCAACTATTTAATTGGTCTAAAAAAAGAGATCACATTTACCCAAAGAACCTTGTCTACCTTAGGAAAAGTAACTGACACCTTTTCCCCACCATGCTTTTTTTTTATTTTTATTTTTTAAGATTGAGCACAAGCCTGAAGAGGAATAAGAAACATTTGAAATGAATGAGAGAGTGAAAGCTTGATAATTAGAAGAAATAAAGGAATAAGTATAGGAAAATCTAATATAGCTTCTGTGATGCATTCCTGAAAAATGTCCTTTCTTTTAATGATCTTAGGCTAAATTGAATGCATTTGAATAGAGTAATGCTTTTTTACTATATTTATTATACAATGATGTTTTTATAGAAATATATTTTGATATAATTTACACTTTAAAGAAGAGAGCAGGATTTGGATTTAGAATTAGTAATCACTTTTACATTTATATATGTAAGTGTGTGTGTGTGTGTGTGTGTGTGTGTGTGTGTGTCTATCTATCTACCTACGTACCTATATCTATATATATAACATATATTATTACATGTTATAGTTAAGGAAATACTGCAACTTATATAAGTTGAGATTTTGGTAATTAATGGAAAATGCAATTTCCGTTTGCTCTTTACTTCTTTAGATAAGAGCGTGAAACTAAATAGACAATGACTGAAATGTTAGAAATCACAACATTTGGGCTAGACAAAAATACAGGATATTTTGAAATAATGAAGTAAATGAGATTAAGAATGTTAACAAACTCTTTGTCCTATCAGTTCCAATAAACTGTATGCCATAAATATAAACTGTATGTTTGTATTACAAAAAAACCCCAAATATACACACTTTAAGATTTAAAATGAATGAAGTTTACTGACTAACTGCATTTTTATAGAGGCAAAAAATTTCCCTTTTAATAAAGTAGTTTATTATTGTTTATACTTGCTGATTAAGGCTTCTTTGCCCCTCTCCCCAAATTTATACTGCTTTTGGAGTAAACTTTCATACTCTTAGGATAGAATTTAACCTTCTATTTCTACAAGTTTTCTGCCTATAGAAGGTTTCCATAGAAGATACTGAAAGTGTCCTATTCAAAGAAGAGCATGCAGAAACCTGTTAGGAGGATGGGAGCCAGGGATCAGGGAACACTTATATTTCAGGAAAATAATTTCCAAACACAGTGAATTACAATAAATAGTTATTGCAGGTGAATTAAGTGGTGCTACTTAAGATGGAAAAAAATATAAGGGAGAAAAATGACAATTTAAAATATGATTTATTGATTACCCATATAATTAGACCTGATCCTAGTTTCCCTATCAACTCAAAACTTCATCTGGCAGTGCTTAGTACATGCAGTATGCAGGATCAGACCTATTATTGAAACAAATATGCTTTTCTAATGACAGAATAGCAATTGAACTTTAAAAGAGATATGTGGATTGTTTATATAGCATAAAAATCAGTGGGATGTACAGATTTGTGCAAGTGTTTTAGAATCTATGACACTGAAACCTTCACGCTTAGCCCTTACGAGCTTCTAGAATGTGTCCATCTGCCCATTTTATCCTACTTACATTTCACTTTGCTACAAAGAGGAAGCCACCATTTTTCCTGGATCAACAGATTTGCTAATAGAAGCTGCTTCACATTGTTCGGGTGAGCTGGTAATATAAACCCATCTGTCAAAAAAAAGGATTGAGTTTATTGTATTTCATTTTACATCATTCTTTTGTGTACCAGTGATATATATCAAAACTATGGTATTTTTACACCTGGTATTATGCTAGAATTTAAGCATTTCAGATGAAAAGTATAAAATGATGACTAGGTAGAAGATGGTGTTTAGCTACCTTTACACAAGAATATGCATATATATTTAGGCTTAGTGTTTAAAAGATGGCATTACAATAACATATAATATTGGCACTTGTGAAACATTGTGAATCTAAGAAGTCAGGCAAGGCGTCCAGAAAGTATAACAATAACGAAGCTCAGTGTTCAAGTTGTAACATCATATTTCTTAACTAAAATTAATATATTTTAATGTTAATTATGCAGCACATCTCCAGTAATTAAACAGATTCCATTGTATGTGCCACTTCAAAAGCATAGAGTATATTTACCAGTTTGCCAGTTTTCACAGAGGGCAAAGGATTAACTGATCTGAATAAAGTCATACATTTTAATATGTTAACAAGTAGAAAGGATTTGATAAGTCATGATTTTTCAAATTATTTATTGTAAACTGAAATATTTATCCAGTTTTGGAGCGTTCTATCTTTAGCAATGGAAATGTCTGTTGTTTTTGGAAAGGTTTCAGTGAGGAAAATAAAACAACACTTTATTCCACAATGTTCATGTATCTTTAAATGATTGCCAGAACATATGAACCCATCTTGAAGAAAGTGGGCATCTAGAATATTCTGTTTTCTAGCACATGCTACCAGTACTAATAAAAGCTAACTTTAGTGAATTAAGGAACTTTTTTCAGATTGCAGAAAAGGATCATGTAGAACTATTTGATTTTCTGAAACATGGTTAATAATGAAAATGTATTTTCCATAATCAATTAATTAATTTACTATGGTAAATAATGGACACATTTGAAGCTATATTTATTTGCCAAATGTTGTCAGTTTTGTAAAATTCAAATATATTTGTGAAAAACTTCAATGGCTAGAACATTTTCCAAGCAAAATATCCATAATTAATTTAGTAATTATTCCTGCAAGTCTAATCAACAGTCAAAGGTCAAACCATTTGGGGTTATCCATAAATATAATGCCTTTTACTGAATGAATCATCAGCACGTGTTATGCAATAAGCCCTACTTCTTTATTCAGTATAACATTTTGGATTGAGTATTGCTTTGATTGACTGTATCTTAGGCTTTCTGTTAAAACTTTATTGCATTTATGTTCACCATTATGTATTC